ACACGAAGCCAGGCACCACTGGAAGTGAGAGCGCTGCCAGGTGCCCCTAAGAGGACAGGGTGCTGGGCCCTGCCCACCATGGTGCCCTCCCAGAGGCTCCTCTGGGACTCTCTGGACTCCAGAGCTGCCGGTCAGAGCAGACAAGGGGACAGCAGCTGAGCAGGGATACAGGTGCCTGAATGGAACCCTGGGACAATGCCCTCCCGCACCCCAGGCCAGCAGCAGCTCCCAGAGCCTGGAGGCAACTACAGCTTGGGGCATCAGAGAGAAGGGAGTACATGGGCCCGGTGGGATGGGGGGCATGTTTCATCCCAGCTCGGCTGCTCTCTGAGCGTTGCTGGGAAGGGGAGGGGTATGACGTGGCCCAGAAGGCCCTGGTCCTCTTTGGGCCAGACACCAGGGTGGCAGGAGGGTTTCTAGAGAAGAAACACACACCCAGCTGGGCACCACGAACAAGCTTGGCTCTAAACACTCCAAGATTTGCCTCTCTCAGGATCTCGGGGTACCAGGAATTGGGTGTTCAGTGGTCCTTGGAGCTCGCAGAGGCCTAGCACATCTCAGTGGTCGGGGGAAAGGTGGGGCACTATATGGATGGGGAGGCCCACTTCACTTCTGCTGGGAGCTCCCTGACACCCAGATGTGACCAGGCTGTCTCTAGACCTGACCCACCTCGGTACCCAGCATGGGGCTGTCTTGTGTTTGCAATGGTGGAGTCCACCCATCTTCCAAACTCCTCCTTGTGGCCTGGCTCCAGACAGTGAAAACACTGTCCAACTGGGAGGCAGTCTTAGGCTCAGCCCTAAATGCTGTGTGACCTCGGACAAACCACTTAACATCTCTGAGCCTCAGTTTGTTTATGCTTAAAATGCTGAGTATCCTTCCAGGGGTGTGAAATCTAGGTGTCCCTGTCACCATTAGCTAGGCCATATATATACTGTCTCCCAAAAAATGTATGTACACTTTAATAGCTGATAGCTCAATTTTGAAAACGAAATGTATTTCAATAAACACTGCCTTTATAATTATCCAAAGTGTGTATATACACTTTTTGGGACACCCTATATACATTTTTATAAATGTTTTTTTAAGTTGATTTGAGAGAGAGAGGGAGGGAAACATTGATGAGGGAGAGAAACATCAGTTGACCGTCTCCTGCATGCCCCCTACATGGTGATCAAGCCTGAAACTCGGGCATGTGCCCTGACCAGGAATCAAACCAGTGACCTTTCAGTGCACGGGATGATGCTTAACCAACTGAGCCACACTGGCCAGAGCAGCTAGGCCATATTTTACTGAGCAGTAAGGCCCTGGTGCAGGTCACTCAGTCAGAAGTCGGGCCCTGAGCTGCCCTGGGTCCTGCACTGCAACACACTCAGAACAGAGTGCCGGGTGCCCCTTAGCAGGGAGGAAACATGCCAGGCAAACAGTTTTCTGCTTGTAAACAGTCATTAAAGAGCTAATAAACCAAGAGTTAATAAACCCAATTTTCCAGAACTCTGCCCTGGGGCTCGCTGGTTCCATGAAAGAGAACCAGCCCCAGCTCCTGAGGTGCTGGGGCTTCAGGGCACTTGGACACAAGCTCTTACAGGCCACTCACATGGGGGAGCTCATCACTGTCCCCCCCCCCCTGCTTTGGGCAGCATGGGCCGTCTTGTTGAGGAATGAGGGCTGGAGACAGGGCTCAAATCCTGCCTTGACCACCTACCCTGCTAGGAGACTTTGAGCAAGTTACCATGTATGAACCTCAGTTTTCCCTGCTGTGAAATGGGATGATGCCCACCCCCACCAGGAATCCAGCAGAGATAACAGGAGACATGAATACACAGTGCCTGGTATCCTGTCCATGGCCAGTAATTGACATCCTGGCTGGCCTCTGCCATCATCACTCACTTGGTCTCTATATGTGAGCCAAGAATCTAGAGGTAACAGATTTCTATCTGACAGGTGGGAAGCTGAGGCACAGAGAGGTTAACCCACCACCAAGTTCCCCTAGTTAGGAGGTGCTTGGGCTGTGATTCCCCCCCCCCCATTCTGCAGCCTGCCATCACCCTCAAACTGGTGAGAAAAATGGCAAGAGAACAGGCTTGGGGAGGCGACTCTGAGTAGTCCAGATCTGGCCAGTCCCAGGAGCTTGGGCCTTTGATTCATGAGCCGCTCCCACTCCCTCAAGCAGAAATGACATCACCCAAGCCTGGGTAGCACTTCTCCTTTTACCACAGGGCTCTCACATTCTCTATCTCTGTTCTTATCTGGTTATCTTCCTTGGCTGATAAAGTCAGACCTTGGTTCCAATTCCTGCTCCAGCAGATCCCCCACTTTGGCTTCCAGGCCTTCTGGGGCCACCACAGAGGCATAACCCGGGCAGGGCCACCTGGACAGGGAAAAGGTGCTTCTTGCCCAGCACCAGGGACAGAACCACCTAAGGACGTTCTTGGCACAAGCTCCAGGACCACACATGGGAAACAGAGAAAACCAAGGTTTTGGGCAGCTTGCCCCAAGAGCCGGGGAGCAGAGCTGCGCGTCACCGCCTCCATGACATCCCTCCCTGCCCCCCACACCATCATGACACACAAAGCCGACAGGCGGGAAAACCCCTAGGCGGGGGTGGCAGTTCACGCCTGATCCTCCGCTCCCAGAGCGAACCCCATCCTCAGTTCCTTTGGCTGACACGGCTCTGCGGTTCCCCCATCTAGACGGCCACGTCTACAGAGCAGCACTGCCTCATCCCGTCCCCCCAACAGCCCACGACGCGCGGCTCCGTCATCGCAAGCCTGTGCCAAGGGCACACGGACACGCTCCGAGCAGCAGCCACGATACCGTTATCTCCACGGCTCCCTCGCCGCGTTCTGCGGCTGGGCACCGGGCCCAAGGCTTTGTGCGAACCACCGCTGGAATCCTCACGGCGACCTTCCCACCCGGAGCCCACTGTGCAGCTGGGGAAACTGAGGCACGGGCTATTGAAGTGACCCCCATCCTACTGACCACACTCTCCTAGACCACTGCGCCCGCTGGCCTCTGGGCCTTGCGTCTTGGCTCCCCAGGCTGAGAGTCACCGCTTCTCCCCACCCACCAGGCCAGGGTTTCTCATCAGCCCACCCAGCTCCAACTCCTTTCCCAGGGCGCCCAGAACATCCTTCCTCCCCGCAGCTTTGGAATTGCAAACGACCTGCATCTGGGTGAGTCCCTGGATACATTTCCTGAATGAGACAATGGGGACAAGGTGGCTCTCTGTAATTCCCTGAAGATGACAAAATGAATTTTTCTTTATGCCCATCTGACTCACACAGGGAGGCCATAGTAGCTTTATGGACAGTCTGGGCACCTCCTCCTGGCCTGTGTCCTGGGACCTGCCTCGCCTGGCAGCTTCCCTCCGTAGCCCGGTCACCAGGCCAGGTCAGCCTGCACTCTGGGAGGGCCATGCCGTCCCCGCCACTCCTCCCCCAGCCTGGCTCAGCAGGATAGGAAACTGGGAGCAGATGTGTGCGCTCACTCTGGAAATCCCCAAGAGTGGCCAGGACAACACTGAGGCCTACTCCAAAGTGGGTGGCACAGGGACCTACGGGGATGTGTGGGGGAGGAGAGGCAGCCGGGAGAGAACATCTCCCCTGACACTGCACTGTGGGGCGGGCAGGGGCCGGGCCGCCTATTTCACCACTGCTCATCCTGGCCCAAAGGGAAGCACCGGGTCACCTGGATATGAACAGGTCCATGCACGCACGGACACACCCCGGACTTCTTCCTGCTCTGTCTGCTGTCTCATCTAGGGCAGAGACAAGTTGATAGGAGCCCTGCAGAGAGGCCACAGCAGTGTCCACAGCTCTGGCCAGAGTAAACACACCACTACTGACCCAGAGCTAGACTGGGGGCCCCCACGCCTCTGTCACAGATTGGGGGTGACTTATTCCTCCTCTTGGAAGGAAGTCCCGTCCCGGGCAGAGTGTGAGAGATGCCAGGTAGAGCTGCAGCTCAGAAATGAGCGGACCAGGGAGGATGACCTGGTAGTCTGTTTACTGCCCGTAGCACAGGGATTCAGGGCTGGGCCTGGGAAAGGGCGGCCCAGGTTCAGTCCTGGGCTCCACAACTGACTTCCTGAACGGCCTTGTGACCTGAGAGGCACACTACAGGTGAGGGCCACTACTGTGGGTTTTTGTTTTACTGCAAAGATGGGAGTCTCACTCCAGCCTTTTAAAGACCAAAACAACAACAACAACAACCCCACCAAAAATGCAGACGTCAAACCAGAAACTGCCACCTGCTCTCTCACCCTGGCAGGGTTCTGGGGTCCAGAAGTGAACGTGACTAGGGCCAGTGGATCCTGCCAGGAAATGGGAAGCAGGATGGTGGGGTGGAGTGGACATGGGCTGCTGCTTGTGACAGCCACCTGCCCCATTCTCTAAGAGTCATCCCTACCGGGGATCTCCCTGTCTTGGAGCTCTGATGTCCTCCATCTCTCACTCTTGCTCAGCTGACACCACGAGCACAGGGAGGGCCTTGCTCTCCCAGCCCGTCCTCTGGTCTAACCACAGTGGAACTTTTTACTGCAGGAGAGAAGCAGACTGGGGAGCCACGAGGAATTAGGTGCCTTGCTATACCCCTGGGGTGATACTTTCCTGTGTAAATACTAGGAGAGTTAGGTGTGAGTTCAGAAGGGAAAACTCCAGCAGGTCAATGGCATCGGGCATCCATGCCCGCATCAGCAATGCAGCTTTGGGAAAATCTGACAGCAAAACTCATATGCAGGGGACGTCTGAGTTCCTGTGTGGGAGGCTGCCCTTGGGGTGAAGTACTTCAGGACTGTCCCCTGCCCCTGGTCTCAGCTTCTCCCCATGGCACCCAGACCTACTTCCTGAGGCAGGCTTAAGGCACCAAAGGCAGCCTCCTGTTAGGGGAATAACTGCCCTCCTTACCTCTTATCTCATTTAGGTTTATTCCAAGTTCTCCTCCCAATCCCTGGGGAAACTGAGGCAGGGAGGGGCAGTCAATGAGAACTACAAGCATACCTCAGAGATATTGTGGGTTTGGTTCCAGACCACTGCGATAAAGTGAGTCGTAATCTTTTTGCTGGTGGAGGGTCTAGCCTGCAATTTGTTTAAAAAAAAAAGCAACATGTGAAGTGCGATAAAAGCGAATCGCAATAAAACGAGGTATGCCTGTTACTTGGACCAGGTGCTGTGGCAGGATTTCTCAGCCTCGCACAGCACTACTGACATTTTGAGCTGCATGATTCTTTGTCATGGGAGCTGTCCCGTGCGGGATGTTTAGCAGCATCCCTGGCCTCTACCCACTAGATGTCAAACACTTGTGCCCCTCGTCCGAGCTAAAAAACAACCAAAACGTTTTTTAGATATTGCCAAGTATCCCCTGGCCAGTAAAATGGTCAAGAGCCACAAGTTTCACTTTCCAGGTATCCCTCTGCCCTATCTATAGACAGCGAGAGAAACACAACACAGATGCTGGGCTCACTATTTTACCAGCAAATGTCACACTCAGGGGTCCTAAATCTAGCGAGCCACTTGGGAAACAGCAACCAGCCCACGGTGGGGTCAATCCCTCAAGCCCCACCCTCCTCGGACACTCCAACCCTACAGCCTGCTCCCTTAGTCTCTCGCCCACTTAGGCTGGGGCTGAGACCTGGGCTCCCCCTCTGTCCTGGGGGACACATGTCCCCTAGAGGACTTACCCCTCCCTAATCTAACCCCAAGGAACCTCAGTCCAGAAGTCAAGACTCCTCTGTCCAATTTCTGAGCTCGGGTCCGGCCTTGCTGTCCGAGCCCACCCTCCCCACACCTGTGTCCACCTCGGTGAGGGCG